GGGGGGGGGGGGGGTCATGACCTTGTCTCATAATATGGACTACACACTGGTGTGACAGTCATGTCAATTATATGTGACATGCAGACACAGGGACACAGGAAATTCTGCATACATGATAACTGATAGTGAAGGGGAAATACTGAGTTCTACTAATAGAACGAGCACATGATAAGAATGACGAGAGAAATAAGAAATAGAAAAACAGAAAGAAGGAATCTAACGTTTGAGAATATAATCACATGTACATGTTAAATTTGTTGCAGACCATATTTGACTTTTGCCACAATAGCACCTCAGATAACCTAACAGGAGGATTTGAAACATGCAAGGTGTGTTTCAGGTGCAACTGAACTGGACTGGAGTAATGTGGTGGGGGGAAAATGCATAGTGGCATGTAGTTGTACATATGTGAATTAGACAATTGATTCAATTCATCCTCTTGCTATAACTCTATAACTAGGGGAGTGCCGACTGAGGCAAGGCGCATCTATGTATTGTACAAGGCCATGGCATTCATTCTAGTTTTTGTGTGTTTTATACGTGTGCATTGCATACAGTAAGTTACTTGTCAAATCAACAGCTAAGCACATAATGTTGCTCAGTATCTACAGCTACAATATACAACAGTACTTTGTAGTTGAATACATATACAGGGTCAGATTGTGTTGAACGTACTGTATGACATTCTGCTAGAACACTATGATGAATAGTGTAATATATTCCTCATATATATATTATGTAATATATCAATTATTGATTACCTGCCTCGTAATACAAATAGTGACAACTTGAGCAAGCTGAAGCTTAAAGTGCTCTGACAATGTGTCTCTTAATGTGGTAATTTGCTGTACCTATGTTTGGTTATTTTTTCCTCTAATTTATAATTATTATATAGAATAAACAACCTGCAGTTACTGTTTCAACAGTTCATCATCTCTGAATATTCAGAAGAATGACTGTGAATTGTCTTTTTTTCAACACTCAACTTCCACATTTATGTCTTCATGCAATCTCTCTCTTATTCAATACCTCCCATTCACACCTGTTTCAGAAGATTAGTTTTTTTTTTCTCCCTTTATATTCTTTGACTGTATTGCATTGATTCTTTCTTGTTTCAGTTTATCATGACTTTTGCAGCAATTCCTTTACACATTTCTCTTCTCTGGTGCAGTAAAAATATTTAGTAACAAAACTAGAAAGGCATATCTGGTGATTCTCACTTTCTTTGGAGTCTTTTGGAGTGCATGCTAATATTCATAATGGCGGTGGGTGGTTACATTGCCACACATTATGTGAAATTCTTAAGAAACAGCCATGAAAATGAAGTAACTGCATGCAATATGTTTCAAAAGATAGACCACAGGAAAGGTTTGCGAAAGTTCGCCATAGCAACACAGTTTTCAGTCCCTTCAGACGCTAAGATTCGTGTATTCAAATACTATTCACCATTTACTTGATAACACTAACTCTCCTCTTTGTTATCACTTGGGAGCAAGCCCTGTTCCTCTGTCCTATAGTTGTCCTTTTCAAGATCTCTTTGTCACATTAGTACTCCCTCATACCACCTCGCTCTACGCAGCATACCTGTACCAATAAAAGCAAGAAACTAAAACACAATCAAGTTCAAACTTGCCACCCACCAGCCCCGTTTCCCACTCTTTCTCTCTTAGTCATGTCCTAAACTGTTTGACTCTCATCCGCAGTTCCTGCTCTTGCCAGAAAGGAAAAATACAGAATTGTCAGCCTGTGACTCGTAAATACCACCCTCTTATTCATTAGGAGGTGTTCTCAAAACAGGCTGTGAATAAAACAAACAATGGCAAAAGTCGGGCTGACGCTCTTCCTTAGGAACCACTGGGAATTATAACAAACATCTTAAATGAACATGTACAGTAATGTGCACACACTGTACAGCAGTGTCATGTGCACGGTTTAAAGGTTGAATTTAAAGTCAAGTTTGCAAAATATGTATCAAAAAAATACCAACAAGCAACAGCAACAAGAAAGTGTTATAGTTACCTTCTCGTCTTCCATCCGCTCCATCTTTTCTGCCTGATGGACGATATTCAGAAGAAAACTGACTCTTCAGATCACAAAGTGAAGCTTCTTAGACTGAGTTGTCTCTTATTCTTTATGAACACACACCTCTGTCAGCAGGAAAACCTGACAAGAAACAAACACAAGAGCAATATGTCATATAGCAAACATTGTATTTGTATTTGTTCCAGAATAAATGTTTGAAGGATCTCAACTTCTTCAGCATCAGAAAATGGATCCTGTGGGTTATAATAGAAACAATCACTCTTTCCTATATCTCATATATCTCATACCAGTAAAGACTATTAGCTACAGACCTAATGGACTAGTGTAGAGCACTCTGCAGCAGCTGAAGCACTTTTCTGCTCTCAGTGAATTCAACAGGAGTCTGAGCCCAAAATTAAATTAAACCCCTCCCCCTGCTTCCTTGTTCACCCTCCTCTGTAGCTCTCTCTAATTATGAAATGAAAAGAGAAAAGTGATGTAACTCCTTCTTTTCAAATGAAATTACTGTCGCTTTTTGCTTAATTTAATAATTAGAAAGCATAAAATCTCGTCTGAATGGGCTGCAGAGACTATAATAAGTCCCATTGTCGGGATGGAGCCGCATGTGAGGCTGTACCGACAAGTGGATTTGACTACACATGTTTTATGCGCGCAGTGAGATACTTTAACTGAAATTATTATTATTATTAATAATAATAATAATAATAATAATAATAATAATAATAATACAGACAGACAACAATTCCGCACCCCAAAATAACATGTGAGCAACATTTCTGACAGACAGTGACAACCCGAATGAATCAATGAGAATGATGAATAAAAATAAATGTTTACCGTTATGAGGGATTTGTGCCAGTCTGTGTGTATCCAGTAAAACAATCTTGTCCCGACTTGTTTGCTATGACAAATGTTCAGTCCTCCCCTCCTGTTTGTATGTTTTTTTATAGAAAGTGGTACACGCTCATCGGCACGTTTCAGTGCTTCAACGTTATCTCTTAGTCATACGTTACTTGGAAGTTTGCAAGACGCATGGTTACCCATCCTGTTGAGTCGCGGGTCGTAATGTCAGTGGTAGCTGCGCAGATGTGTTTCCACTCAGCTGAAGAGATGGGGACGTGCTCGGATGAGCGTACGGTATACTGGGGCCAGAGATGGAGAACAAACGGTGTCGGTGAAAGGGGCCTCTGTGCTGCTGCTGGCCCCGTCGGCTGCCCACCGGGGGCGCGAGAACAAAAGGCAAATGTGCACGGAGTTCAGATACAAAGCCTGGTCATGCAGAAATCATGAGACCGGCTCAGTGGGTGGCAAACAAACGGGAAGCCCTCCTAATTCTTCAAAAACTAATCTTCACAGCCCACTTAAATCCCAGTCCGGAATTTGACAAGTTCTACAGAGAAATGCGAGTGAGGAGGGCGGTTTTAAAATCAATTTGGTGAGCAGGTTGGACCCAGTGTCTGTGTAACTTTTAATTAGAGGTCAAGGACTTGAGTTTGATTTTGGGTGACAATTTAATTATAATGGTTTGATTTCCTTGCCCAAAATGAACAATTTAAAGATGCAAAAGCCTGTCAGTGTCAGATTTTATAGGTCAGAAATGCTGCCACTACTCCAGAAGATGTTGACCATGTGCCAAAAAGAGAAGAGCAACTGATGTTTTCATGTTACATTCATTTAGTTACATGTTCAAGTCAACAGAGAAAAACAAAACAACAACTACTGAAGGAATGCGGAATCCATGATTTGAAATATAGTCCAAAAACAGGAATTCATTCTCAGCTAAAACCTGCAAATAATAGGGACATGACCTCTGTGGCCTCAGTGGCAGCTGTAGCCCTGATCAGTATTATAGATCAAAATCAGTGGCAGCTGATGGTGAGGCCAACACTTTGTTTTCTAGTTTAATCCAACATTTGATCATGTAAACTGTTCCAGTTGGACATAAATACATCTGTTTATTCCTGAGCTGAATGAATGGAAACAGGATCGTGTTTGACATCAAAACTAAATTTTCATTTACTTGTTTATTTATGTATGCCCAAAAAAGTAAAGTGACTCTTAAAAACAGCATCTGACCTGATAAGAGAGATTATTTTAACAATACACCCAAGTGACTTCTCTCTGAACTGTTATTAACTCACCCCGGTGTCTCAGTAAGAAATCTCACTCATTGCATCAGAATTTTGACACACAATGTCACGATGACGCAAACTGGAAAGAGGAGGTTGGGATGAGCCTTCAGCTGTAACCAAACTATGACTGTATATGCACATATGACCTTTAATGGGACGTTATGGTGAATTAGGTTTCATACTATACAGATTAATATACCTTATGGTACCTTAAATCTACAGGGCCACTCACATCGCTGTCGTGTAGTTGACAGCCAGAGTCCAGGGAAAAAAAGTGACCGGAAATCTGTTGTAACAGTGGATACATATGAAAAACGTCAGACTCTGTTTAACGTGGATGGCTCCCTCCCTTTTTGTGAGTAAGTCTTTTGTGGAATCACAATTATTTAATTATTTCTGTAAATAACCATCTGGAAACTACACTCTCAACAAAAAAGAAAAGAAAAAAGGAACTAACAGAGTGACGTGAGAAGATGTTCAGGTTCAGAGCCTACCCTGCCCCAAGTGCTTGCAACATCTTCAGGAACTACAACCCTCTGTCCCAGCATCCCATCTGGATCCTGTGAGCCGTTGCCAGGGAAACCAAACCTGCAGCATCTCCTCCAGTGACCTGGCCTCTGTGAGCCATTCAAGTTATAAGACATCTGCAGAGGGCAAAGGCAGATAAACAGAGAGAGGGAAGGAAGTGAAGAAAGATAAATGCACTCGCTCTCTCTCTCTCCCTCACCATCACCCATACATGCACACACACGCACACACACACACACACACACACCATTACAAACCACATCCTGCAGCCGCCTGAACCCAAAACATCTGTGTGAGTGCTGGACTCTTGCTCTATCTAAAAGGTAGCTTAAAAGTTAAATACAAAAAATACATTTCCCACATATATTGTGAATATTTCAGCACTTCATTAACCTCTATTATATACTATTGACCTGTGGTAAATTACATCAACAAACAAGTTGTGTTTAAAATAACTTCATCATATATTAATATTCTAAATGCTTGCATGATTCGATACACATTTCTTTTCAGTTCAGCTTGGCATTTTAGGTATATTAGATAAATGTTGGGTCTTGTGTGGGTTTAAACATTATAAATATGCAAACATGTTGTACATAAATATTTTTATAGTGACAATCTGGTGGTTGAGGGTCAACAGTGTTAAAAGGTAATTTGCACCTTATAAAGACCTTGTTACAGAGGGATCTAGTGTTGAGTAAAGTTTGCTGTTGGTTCAACTCATTTAAATTTGGTGCAACAGTGCCACCCTGTGTGTATGGACACACACTGGGACCCAATGATATTCAGTTCTCTGGCACGTAAGATCACAATCTTATGAAAACAATGTTGTGTTTCTTACAGTGTTTCCCCTCCATTGACTCTTTGCTTTTTGCATCTTTTTTTGTTAAAACTTCACCACAACAACTAAAAAAGTCTCATTAGTATCAGTACCAAGCCTGAAAGGGATTTTATTCAGTTGATAGATGAACACAGAAGAGGAGAACACACCCTTTCTGGCATGTCAGGACATATTGCAGCATTATTAAGGTGAACACTTGCCAATGGAGGATGTGGTGAGCTGGTGATAAAAGGAAGATTACAACTGTGGTGTGACGACGCCGATATTGTAACACAGTGTAATTAATAAAATTGGGAGCCTCAAGCTTAAAATGAGCTACCATTACATTGTGAAGTAAGCAGTGACAGGAAACGAGTCTTTAAATCCCGGTACGGTGAGGAAATGTGTTAGACAGCAATGGAGGACATAGATATGGTTGATTACCTCCACCATCAGGAAATCAATCAGGTAATAAATGATACAAATTAAATGAAGATGTCTTTTGGTAATTCACCAAAACCTACATTTCTATTATTGTTACAATAAGTCACTGATATCCTGCATCTTTTAGGATGGTGGTGTACTATAGAAGATGCTGTGACATATAAACACTGATCATGAATAAAGGCCAAAGCCTCAATGTTTTAAAGCTAATCTTTGTTTCTGATATTTATCTGTGAAACCTTTTCATATCGTAAATATGCTCTATGTTTTACTTGTGCCACCACGACACCAGTGACATTCTTCTACTTCCGTTACAGAGAAAAAAGGATGTCGAGTTAATTACGTCAACTTCCCCCTCTGATGAAACGCACTAATCTTCTAGACTTGCATCAGTTCAGTAAAGCAGTACAAATTTGTTGGACGGTGCAGTGCAGTGCAAAAAATTACTGTTACCCAACATCAGTAAGTGGATTCAGCACAACAGTGCCACAGTGTGGTAAGAATTGAGTATTACACCAAAAAGAGCATCGGCTTATATCACCACCACTGCCACCCACTGGAACAACTATGTTGTTGTTGAGTTTTCACAGTACAGACCTGAGGGGTGTTGCAGAGAGGACTAAATGAACACTTTCGCAGATTACTGTGATGTCCATATAATTATCAGGATAGCTGAAGGCTGTGTTGGGTAATCCAGAGAGACTACAGGTCTCCGCAAGTTCAACTGAAAATAATATATAACCAGTTTCACTCCAAAATAACTCGACGACTACAAGAGAAGACATACACATGAAGAAACTTTCAGCAAAATAATAAATCATTACATTTTTGGACTCGATACAGAAACCCTGATGACATTAAGCCCATCTGAAAGATTTGCCCCACAATACCTTGCCCTGCCTTTAATATGGATATGATTAGCTGTCACTGAAAAGACATTTCAGTTACATTTACCTGTGGACAGGTACAGTTACTTAATGTTCACTTCAGTGGCAGCCAATCAGGCATGCTTTGTGTATTTAAGTTATTTTAAGAAAAAGGTTGTCTGACTTGTAGAAATGGCTTATTGGTAAATTCAATGAAACAAAGTACTGAAACTGTAATAGTGAACAACATCATTTTAATTAAATCTGCATGCTGAAGAGTAGTCACAATAGAGACAGGAAACAACTTCAGCCTTTAACATGAAGGGTAAAAAGTTGGTGCGTGTTTAAGTTAATAGGTTAATGACATCAATGTTGATTACAATTGTGAAAGCCTGTTTGGAAGATGTCTTAGGCACTCTACAGGAGATAAAAGGTGAGGTAACAGATGTCCTGCATGACTGTCTGATGATTAGATTTCCTGGTTTGAAAACTTCCATTTCTATCTGCTCGCCCATTTGCGACCCTGTTGGGAGATTTAAGAGAAAACACTTACAAATAATTGAGAAACTTTGTTGCTTTACACTCACAGAAGTTAATGTGAATCCCTAGACATAGCACCAGCAGAGACTTGAGTATGGAATTCATTCCTTGAGATCTTGGGAACAGTATGGTGTGCGAAATAGTCTCACCAACTGTTGATTTGATGTATATGCAAACAGAAGACAATAAGTTATATGCACACCACTTCAGGTGCAAGACTGTCAGGAAAGGCATCAGTGGGAAAAAATGGTAAGGCTAGCACACTTTATCACGGCCTTTTTTTTAATGACAACGTTCCATCTAGATGGATCTTGGTCAGGTTGATGAAGATTATAAGCTAACTACATAATGCTACATAGTTACAGTAACATCAATATTCGTGTGTGCTTGGAAAACACTATTAGGAAAATAGTTTGGCGGTCCATTCACCGATAGGACACTGACCATGCTTGTGGAAATGGCTTAAACTTACCCAGCTCATGGGATCAGAGGACTTTGTAAACCTCTGGTACCAATCACAGTGGGCACATCTGGTCTTTGGTGGACAGGGCCTTTGTTGCACCTATGAAAGTCTGGGAGAAAAAAAATAAAAATAAATAAGGGTCAGGTTACTTCATCTGCACATGTTTCTTACTATAAACACCATAAACATAAAGGCCGGCTGGCTCTGGGACAGTCAGGACCAGCATTATGGATGGTGCAGTCTGTGTAAACCAGAGCTCCGTCTTGGTTCTCTTTGTACTTTAGTTACAAGATGTTCAAGTAAATGTGGAGTGAAAAAATATCACAACAGATGAGCCGTTATTTTATTTTATTAACAAAACTTTCTTCAAAATAATACTTCTTTTATAACCTTACATGGTTATAAAATAGGCACTACACTCAATTTTGGCTTATATGACCAATGGATTCCAGGGAGACATATAGTCTGAATATACAGAAGAAATTGACTAAACAAGTATTATCTCCATACTACCAAATGTCATGTGGGAGGTCATTATTCTACTTTACTACTTTTACTTTTTACATGAACATGTCCTAAATAACTGAAATGTATGTACTTCTTAATGGTTAGTACTCTTTTATGTAGTACTATAGTTCTCTTTATGTTAATACTTTTATCAGTACTCTTTATGATAGTACTATAGTACTTTTATGTATACTATAGTTACTCTTTATGTATTACTATAGTACTTTTATGTAGTACTCTTAGTATATACTCTTTATGTAGTACTCTTTAGTTATAGTTACTCTTTATGTAGTACTCTTTAGTATTAGTACTCTTTATGTAGTACTCTTAGTATAGTACTCTTTATGTAGTACTCTAGAAGTACTTTGTATGTTAGAAAAATACTCTTAAGTGTATGTACTTTAGATAGTACTCTTAGTATCAGTACTCTTAGTATACAGTCTCTCTAGTACTAGTATCTTTATTGCAGTTAACTCTATATGCAGTACTCTTTTTACGAATACTCTCTTTTACGCATGTACTCCTCTATACATACGTACTATCAGTACTTTAAATATAGTACTATAGTACTCTTTGTATTGTACTTTAATTAATACTCCTTTATCATAAACTCTTATATAAATACCTCTTTATATAATACTCTTTATATATATACTCTTTATATCCACATTCTCACCCAGGTAGTTTGGAAACAGTTGCGGTCTGTTGTGTTGGGAACCTGCGTCGGAAGGGAGCAGTCCTGTAGCTCTTGATCTTCTTCCTCGATATTCTCAGCCATCTTTATGAGCTTCAGTCAGACTCTGAAAGACACTGATACAAAGCACAGTGCGGATTAACTAACAGCTGAAACACATCTATGAAACACAACCACAGTCAACTATCACAATGTCACCTCAACATAACGCTCACTGTTAGCTGGCTAAGCTAAAAACAGCGTTGTTTTATTAACGCATTGTATCGCTACTCAGTGGTAGTTTGTTATCAGACCTCTGGATAAACATACGCAAGCTAGCTAGCAAACAACTCTTGTCA